ACTCCTCTTCTGGATTTTGTCTCAGAGCCTGCGGCACTTTCTTTCCAAACTTCCCCAGTGACCAATCTTTGTCCCCGTGGTGTGGATCTGATTTTAAGAGAGGCATTTGGAGCTGGTGAGTAAGGTGGGTGAACAGCTGGGTACGATTTTGAGTCCAGAATAACTGGTGAGTTGAATGCGGGGATACTAGCTTTACTTCTGTATTTTAACTGTCTCAGGAGGTTTTTAAAGAAGGTTCTAGAAGTGCTTTGACCAATGTCTGCAGTGGTGGAAAAATACATCAAGTCCTGAGGGACTGCTTTGGAGGGTAATGGTCATTTGACTATGTTGGCTTTGTTTGACAGTCCGAAGAAAAGGAATTGAACTGTAACTCTAGAGCCCTGGCTTGACCGATTACTTTGGGTGCTATCATCTTTCGCAACCAGACCCTGCATTGTTGTGAATTACAGCTCTGCGATAAAAAGAACCAGGATGGGAACATTTACTCAATAAACACTGTTACACAAGGCAAACAAATCAGCATGGAACAGCCACTGAGGATCCCAAGAACCTAATATTCATGGAAATGAAAAGCAATATGCTATGTTACACTAAAAACTTAAGGCAAAAGTAGATGATGAGAATAACAGTGGGGGAAAATGATGTTTTTATGGTTATGGCTATAAGAGGGAAGTTAGAAAAGATTTAAAATGATATTCTTATCTGGGTAGAGGGCCTGGTGCTTATAATGAATTAGAATGCACAAGGAGGAGGTCATTCATGAGGTTTCTAGCCTGTGGTGTTCCTGAGCTATCTAAATACTTAGAACTTTACAGTATATTTTATATGAACATACTTTTACACTGGAAGTGACACATCAAAATTAAGATCCTTCTCTTCAAAAAAGTTAACATTTTATAATACCACCGTGAAATCTCTCAATCAGAAGGAATGGGCATTTTGTGTTAATTCAGTCTTTTATCATTTAGTACGGAGCTGGGTAAGAATAAGTACAATGTGATTCGTGAGCTAAGCTGGAACCCAAAAGGATTCCGGGAAGATTTCAGCACAGATTTCCCATCTGCAGAAACCACTGAAACATTTTGTTAGCTGGTATATCACAAAGGAGGGGCCGTGTAAACATTAAAAGCTGCCCACTAAATCTAAAGCATTTTGGTTAATATGAAAATAGATAGAAGAGGGGCCATTGTATTAACCCAGGGTGGAAATAATTTAGTAAATGATTCCTATCGCAAGGTTTTCAAGATTTACTGTTCATTACAAATTACAGTGTTGATAAGAGTTCTCTTTAGTATAAATTTGCAATGAGCAGGGACGGCAGTAGTACTTAAGCATGAATTCAAGGTACAGACAGTTGTTATATTTAAAAACTCTCAATAAAAGAGGTCCTTATTCTTAGATCATTAAAGAACAAATAAGTCCTTCTTTTGCCACATCAGAGAACATATCAAACTTTTTTGTTGTTGCTATTTGAGACAGGATGATCTTGAATTTACTATGTAGTTTAAACTGACCTCAACCTTGAAGTCTGTCTTGTGATCCTCCTGCCTCAGCCTCTGAGTGCTGGGATTAAAGGCGTGCGCCACTATACCTGGTTCAAAGGGTATTTTTTAGAAATGTGTGTAAACATTAAAATCTTGACTTGTTGATTGTGTTTGCCTGAGAATCCAAAAGAAGGACCCCAGGCTGCAGAAGGCAGACCTTTGGTTTGGGGGTACAGACTGCCTCTTCCTCCTGGCCGGAGCCCAACTCTCTGGGGTGAAAAGACAGCAGACAGAGCAGATAGTTGGGGTGAATCTTGGTTCTGCTTTTCATGGGCCTTATGGTTTCATGCAAATCAGTTAACCAGTGGAGGTCTCTGTTTCCTTGGCTGTTAAAATAGGTTTTAAAATGTTTACCACTTTTTGTTCCTTATGTATGAGAAATACAAAATATATATTTTGAGCTTCTCATATAAGAGAAACTAATATTAAAGCCATCTGTTTTCTGCTGAATTCAAGTTTATCTTTCTTTTTCTTTCCTTTTTTTTTTTTTGTCTTTTTGAGACAGGGTCTCGCTAGGCAGTTCGGGATGACTCTGAGCTCACTTTGTAGCCCAGGCTGGTCTCGAACTCACAACAATCCTCCTGTCTCAGCCTCCTGAGTGCTGGGATTATAGGCATGTGACATCATGCCCAGCCAAATCTATCTTTCTTGAGGATAATGATAAACAGTATATTGAGGATAATGATACACAGTATATTAACTATTATTATTTTTAAAATTTTTATTATTTTATTATTTATTATTTTTATTTTTTATTATTTTTATTATTTTGTTCACCAGGGCAGCTGGGAGGATGAGATAGTTTTTTGGTCCACGTAGTGTGATTGTGTCTGGGTGAGCTCCATAAGCAATATCAGGCCTTGATACCGGGCCCCAGTCCGGCCGAGTGAGGGGACCACAGGGCTGAGTGGTGAAGGGAGCAAACGTGGCTTCTAAGGGGGTCTGAGTCCCACCAGGGGCGCAACACCCACAACTTCCTTCCTGTCTACACCTCCAAGCTTCTCGAATGTCCCAGCCCTGTTGTAAGGCTGGATGGAGGGGCACACCGAGCGGCGTGTGCGTGTGTCTCCAAGCGCGTGTTTGCAGTCATTTGCTTCTGTCCCTCACTAGCCCTGCTCGCTACCCTTTTAACTCTGTGGAAAGAAGGAAAGGCAGGGAGGGAGCGCAGAAGCCAGAGCTATTGAGAGCGGAAAACAGGCATTTCCAAGAAAGGAAGACAGTTAGACAACTGTTCCTTCCTCTCCCTCCTAAGAAGCCCCCGAGAGTCAGCCCTCTGTGAAGATTAGAGGTTTCCCACAGTTAGGCGCTGGAGGAAGCCCCAAGCCTGGCTCCCGGTCCCACATGCAGAGGAAGGGTGGTCGGGTGGCTGCGAGCGGGAAAGCGAGGTGTCGCAGCCGGAAGTGGCAGTGTCTCCCAGGCCCTTCCAGGCACGGCTGGAAGCGTCAGGCCCTGTGGACATCCCAGTCCACCCTGGAGTCGCCACCCCTCTGCAGACCATGTGCCTGAGCTCGCAAATCAGGCGGTGGCCCTCTGGCTGTGTTTCCCAAAGGGGGAGCTCAGCTCGCCCGCTGCTGGAGGCGGAAGCTGTCCTTACCCCGTGCTGCTGCTTTTCTGAAAGGAGACGGTGTCTCTTGCTGGAGGTGCCATCCGTTTTGAACTCTCTGCACCCCACATCTTCTAGAAGCTTGGGTGAGCTAAGTCCTTCATCCTTTGCCAGCGCACATCTGACGTCCTCTCCATCCCGGCTGACCCTGCCTGTGAGAGCCGGCCAGGCGCCCGGGGGCTGTCTAGCGAGAGCAGGGCAGCCTGGCCTTGAGGGGCGGCGTGAGGAGCCACCTCCAAAGCTGTCGGGGCGCGCTCTGCCTAAGGACGCGTTTCGCTTTGGCCTGCCCCCTGGCCTCTCTGGGATGATCCAAGGCAGTTTCTCTTCGTTTCGCACCAGAGGCCTGGCAGGCTCTCTCATCTTGAGCTATGTTCATTTTTATCCAGTGAGCACTGAATTTTCTGCGTGGTTTGTTTCTTGCTTTGTGCCATTTGCCGAAAAGCTTGAACCACAGAGCAGACATTTTTTCCCCTTAACCTTACTCCTTGTTTTAGCTTAATTTTTTACCTTCACTTCTCTTGACCTTGTTTTAAAATCTCTTGTTTTTAACTCGTTTTATCTTGCTAAGGTGTATCCATGATTACAAGCTAGTCTAAATTCTTTTTTGTTCTTCCCAGCAATGGGATTGAACACAGGCTTCGTGCTTGCTAGGCAAGTGCTCTACCATTGAGCTGCTCACCTAATAACAGTTCTGCTCACCTAATAACAGTGCAATAGTGATCTTATTTTCTACAGAGTATTTTCTAGAAGACAATGTGTCCATCAGAGAGCTCATGCATCTTAGTGGGCAAATTGAGTTTCTACTGTACTTTAACAAACTGATATTTGGGTTCATGTAAGAGTCTCTTGTGAGCTTGGTAACTGTGAGTTCATCTATGAGATGGTCATCTTCATACTGTATATTCCTCCCATCACTATGCTCCAGACACAGGAATCTTCTTTGACTCCTTTGAACATGCCAGCCTGTTTCCACCTCAGGGCCTTTGCACATATTATTTGCCTCCATCTGGGATGTTCCCCCCTTAATCTCCCCAGGCTGTTTCCTTCTTATCCATTGGAACAATAGGGATACAACGTAAGTGGGGAGTTTAAAATAATAGTGACTCCCAGGCCTTAATCCAGGCCAATTAAGTTAGAATCTTTGTGGGTAATACTTTTAAAAAACTTCTCAGACAATACTAATTTTTAGCCAGGGCTTAGAGACACACTTAAATCTCGGCTTAAATGTCAGCTGCTCAAAGAAGCCCTTTCCGGTCACCCCCAGGATATAGATGTTGTTGAGCCATGTGGCTCAGCTGCTTCTCTAGCTCCTTGGGAAGAGTTGCCGTGTTTCACAATTACTGCATTTCTTTGAATGATGTTGCTTGGATTCCTCACCTGCCCTAGGATCTGGATGCTGGAAGGACAGGGAAGATACCAGTGCTGGTCTTCCGGCTTTTCACCCATGTATGGTATCAGGCACGGAACAGGATTCTGAGTTGAGTGTGTCCCCAACTCTAGCCGGCACTGAACACTGTGTCTCAACAGACAGGAGCTCTGTAACGTTTGCTCACTTGAACGGCAGTGCCTTTATTCTTATGGCCCACAGGCATTTTGACCAAGACATCACCCTGGCAGAAGCATTTACAACTATCCAAGCATTGAGGACACAGGTGGTCGGCCGGCACCCGGAAAGGTAGTTGGTTCAGGCAGTTCAGCCGTCATCTAGACAACTTCAGATGGTCTCCGCACCTGGACTGCGGAGGGGCAGGACAAATAAGTTTGTGTTTTCAGGCAAATAATGAAACTCCAAGGAGTCTGAAAACAACTCAGAGCCCAGTACCTCCCTACACAGGTGCAGGGCGGCTGCCTGAGAGCTCATCGTGGTTGAGCTCATTCTTTCCAAATTATTATTTGGTAATTACTAATAGAGCAAAGCCACACAAGCGCCCCACCCTGCCGTGTCCCCTCACAGCTCCCCTGTTCACCAAGCTGACGTGTAAGTTCCCAGGTGCTTTTGCCCCAGCTTAAAGTAACCAAGACCCGTCTGTGTGGTAGAATTTTTTTTCTCTTCTTAATTTTACTTTCTTAAGGAATCATCTTCATTTTTCACTCTCTGTTCCTGGAGCTGTACGTAGCCAATTTGCTGGAGGGAAGTGGAGTTGTGGGGAGAGAAATGATCTGTGGGTGAGAGATGGGGAAGGAGAGATAAATTAAACACAAACGCAGCCATGCAGCGAGGGTCTCATTCCGCTTCTTAGCTGGGCAGGTTTCTTGTTCTCATGGGGGGAAAGGCGCGTGTACACCCCCCAAAACCGCACAAACGAAACCCCCTCCGTGGAGAAGCCAGCTACAGGAAACTGACTGATGCACAGGAACTTGCTAATCACTTTTGTCACATTCGGATTGTTCCTGCTGTCTCAGTCACCTCGCACACGCTGAGCCCAGCCGCCTCGGGTTGGCTTCTCCACGGGCGCGATTTCATGTTTTTAGTTCTTCCAGCGTGAATCAGTCCTACTCTTGGACGGGAAGGTCGGTGAACTTGCAGCACTGAACAGGCTTGCGCTGTGTTCGTGTTTCACCTACCTGCCCTGGGCGAACTTGACTTCCGGAGTCAGGCATTTTGGTGGCAAGACATATTGTTTTTGGCATTCTACAGCAGGTAAGACTTTTACCTTTTAAAAACTATTTCTTCAGCGGCAACAGGAATCTTTCTAATTGTATTTAGCTTTGCCTTTAGGCTGGAGATGGTAATCACTGTGTTCCACCTACTGTAAAGTATGGAACCGACTTATAGAAGGAGCGGGAGTCACTCTGCTCTCTGCCCTCTTCCCTGAGGTGTGAACAAGGCACACCTAGGTGTTTGAAACATTAAAAATGGCAATAGCTGGGTTTTTAGATGGTTTTCTAGATGTCTCCCTAGAGAGTACATGGGCTTGTACTAGACTATGATTGAGCCCAACTCTATGGGTAGTTTAAAATTTAAACTTTATTTATTTATTTGGGTTCTTTTTGTTCGTATTTTTGAGACAGGGTCTCACTATGCAGTTCTCACTTTGTATCCCAGGCTGGCCTCAAACTCAAAATGATCCTCCTGCCTCAGCCTCCCGAGTGCTGGGATTACAGGTGTGTGCCACCACGCCCGGCTAAAATTTAAAGTTCAAATGTTACCCAATATATGATGAGTAAATCTACATATTTTCTAATGTATGCAGACATCAATTTTAAAGTATTCAGAAGAAACAGAACCAAGAATCAAAATGATGTAGATTTGGACCCCAAATCCCTAGCTCCCTTGTTTTACCTATTGCCAATCACCACTTTCTAAAAGTAGCCTATGATGTATGTGCTTTGAAATCAGATTTAGTGTTTTTGAGGTGGTTTGATTTGGAGACACTCAGTGGCCTTGACTGTAACTAAGTAAAGTTTGGAGAATCAGTGGTTTTTAGGTGCTTTGCTGAATTAAAGCTGCCATTGAAGTATTCGAGCAAACAACCAGTAGGTGATGACTACTTGTTGGTTCTGATTGGTACTGCAGAGAATACAAGAGAAGTATAAGGAAAGCTCTACTTCAGAGGAACGTAGAAGCCGGTGGTCATGGTGAGGAGGATAACTGAGGCAGCAGAGCATGGTGGGGATGGGCGAGGAGTGGGTGGCAGGGGTTCAGGGCTCCAGGAGTTCAGGACAGGCCCTGGGGGTGGGAGCCCGAGTGGTGAGAGGGAGGAGAGCTTTGCAAGGGGAAAGTTGTTTCACTCTGAGCTCCTCGAGGCCTTTGACAGAGGTGAGCCTGACTCGATGGGGGTCACCGGCCTGAGGAGAGGAGCACGTTTGCTTTACACATTGCAAGAAATAGTTAGCGTGTGGACAGATTAAGAGTGCCCAGAGGGACGGCTGAGGAGAATGGACTCTATTCAGTAGTTTTTCTGGTCTTACCGTTAGGTTCCTCTTTATCAGCTGTCTCGGCTCTGACTTCTGTTTGAGGGAGCGTGGCAATCTGTATCTCTTCATCCTTGGGGTTGCTTTCTGCATCCCCAAGTCTGTCTGTGGTCCCTCCTTTGTCTTTTAGTGTCCTCCCTAGTGCACCATTTATGCAGAGAAAGGCAGGTGTGGCTTGCGGTCCGTAGAAGACCTGGGCTTCTGGTTTCTCTGTTTTAAGAAGGGCTTTCAATCATCCTGTAATTAATGTGGCCTTCCTCTTGGGAGGACGAGTTGGCTGGTGGGTACACAGGTCTGAATTCCTCAAAAACCAGTCCTAAGTCCCATAAAGTAGGTGCTGTGTGCTTTGGATGTCTGAATGAGGCGTTACGGACGCGCTGCCCTTCTGTCCTCGGCCGTGGCTGTAGGGAGTAAGACCGACATAGTAGTTCTGGGCTGTGAAATGTCTCTGAGTCCCTATGATACGAATGTATACAATGGGAGCCTGCTTGCTGTGTAGTGAATGAGTTCTTTTTGGTGTGGAAGCTTGCACGTCATTTAAATTCTTCAATGTTTAGATTTTTTAAAATATCTGTAAAATACCTCTAATGACACTCATCATAACTGAAAATAGTAATCCCAAAGGCTTGCTGGAGAGCTAAAATGAAATAAAAAATACACGAAGCACTTAGCCCAGTGGCTGGCATAAAATAAACTCTCAAATATGTAACTATTATGATTCTTTTAAAAATTTTATCAGTACATGTTTGCAGCACATGATGTTGACATGGATGTTAGGGAGCGGGAACACTGCATAATATGTCTTGATTCCTTTTTTCCCTTTCCCCTCCCACTCACCTCCCTCCCCCCAACGCTGAATGCCCTTTCCCTATTTTCATTATTGCTTTTTTTTTCAGTTTGTGCTATGACACATAATGTTTACATTCCTTGTGGGTGTTTGGTAAAGACTTGGCTATGGACTCGAATGAGGACAGTCTGATCCCCAGCCTGGGAGCAAGCTACCCACAAACTAACACTTTCAATGGCAATCCTCCTTTCAAAGGAAATTGGGGGTGACAGGGAGAGGCCGGATATTCACATTTTTTTAGCACTGAGTGGGCACTAGACACAGGAGTTGGGTGCTTTATAGTGATAGCACACATTTTTTTAAAAGAAAAAATAGATTTTCCATGGCAGCGTCTCAGCTCCTAATGAAACTCCTCTGAGCATCCGCTGCATTATTTGTGGGCCTCTCTGGTTGACGCTGCTCTCTGAGTATTTTGAGGGGAATCATAAAGGTGCTTGGAGTCATGGACAGAGACAGTGAAGTTCTTTCCTGAGATAGTTTCAACTGTATAATTTAACTTCAGGATATTTTGATTTCAGAACTAGCAAGGCACAGGTGAAATGTATTCATAGTCAGGAGTGGGAAGCATTTCGATCACTTGGATAGCTTTTTTGGGTTCTGGATACTGGGGTCTGGATGAAAGCCAAGATTAAAAAGCATCTTTTTTTTCCCTTCTGCCCTCTAGATTAGAGATCCTCTTGGATTAGAAAGACCCCTTTTAAAAATGCAAGCACAGCTGCTACCTTAATTATGCAGGAGATTCTTAATTATGTGTGCAGATTACTTTAATCGAATGGTAATACCGCTTTGTTCCTAGACACTCCCTGGGAACGGAAGGGAGGGGTTTGGGGCTCTGTGTGGAGAGGGATGGACCTGGATTGCAGCCGGTGTTTGGTGGAGGCCGGAAGGCATCAGTGTTGGGGCTGGCTGCACAGTGAGGGAGGAGGGGTGTGAAAGATGGAAGGGAGGTACAGCGAGAAGGGGGTGCCGGAAACACACAGGCTCCCCATGGTGCTTTGGTCATGGACTCCAACAGCTGCTTAAATCCCCCGAGTAACTTCTTAGTAACTTGCATACAAACGTCACGCTTTTCACCAGATGTGGACAGTAGTTCAGAGGTGATGTTAATTTGTCTAGCTCTGGAATAGTGTCTAGGCCTGGAATAGTGTTTTCTGAAGCGGGCCGGACATTACAACCACTTGGGGAATTTTTGAGAATTAGGAATTCTCATGACTCATACCGTAACACTGGGAAGGGGTCCAGGAATCTATGTGGTAGAAAATACAAACCGTAAAACAACCCGGAGCAGTGATTTTACAGGTGTGGGTGTGGAAGCCATTCTTCTAGAAAGAACTGTCCTACCAGCACCTAGGGTGGTAAACTAAGTGCTGAGATAGGCAACGCGATCTCTTGGTTGTTGTGATTAATATTGTTACACAGAAAATGTTTTGTTTTATTTCGACTCTATTCCTGGGGACGAGTTCCTGGGAACAGGATGCCTCGGTTAGGGGTGTGAGCTTCTGTAGCTCAGGCATACTTATGCCTTAACTTGCAAACAGAAGTGCTACTTCTTTAAAAGTTCTAGAGTCTCCAGTACCTATAATCTGGGGGAGCCCAAAGAAAGAAATGTGCTCTCAAGAGAGAAAGTGCCAAATCACTTCCCATCCTTCTTTTCCTGTAAGATAAAATGCTAGTGAATTACTTTCGGAAGAGATTTCCAGAGCATCACTGAATACCCAGTGGCTTCTCAAAGCATACCTTGGAGCCTTCTTGCCTGTGCAGTTATTTCTCGTAAAACTGAAGTCAGCAGTGACCTCTTCCCCATTTCGTAGAAAAGAAAACCAAGGAAGACAGTGAAGTAACATCCAGTGCGGCTCTCACCACATTTGCCATGAGAACCACACAAGTAGTTATCCATTCAGCTTATTGTTAAGGTAAATGACAGAGTAGTTTGTGTACATGACCTCACGGAAAAAACTCTGTAAACTAAAGGTGTGGGTGGGCGGGTAATGAATGGACTCAGATAGGAGACAGACAGCCACTCTGTCTTGTGTGTATGTGTGTGTGTGTATTATATTTTATTCATTATTTGCATAATCTGCTCACTTAAAAGCATGGTCATTATTTGTTAAACAGATAAGAATAAAGTGAACTTTCACTGGACTTCAATAAAAAAGTGCTCTTGCAAAACATCAAGTGAAAGGTTTACAGTCATTTTCTATTATCAGCCTGCACTTAATTGCAAAAGCAGATTGTAATATTTACAGAAATTTTGCAAGTCAGGAGGATTGTTTACTCCTATTTTTCTGCATGACGGGCATAATAATAAACCACTGCTGAATAATATATGCTACTGGATCGTCTCTTCGTTCAGCGATGTCATGTTGGTAGCTAGAATTTATGCCACAGAAATTAGCAAACACAAGTCAAGATTCTTATCTTTTTTTTTTTTTTTGAGAGCCTGTTGCTAAACATTTTCTAGCATCTCGCTGAGGAACTGTGTGAAATACAAATTTGGCAATTTGCAAGCGCCATTAAAATGTTCATGCACTCTATCCTTCCTATCCCATCTCTGGAAATTTATTCTAAGTAAATAATTGAAAGAAGGAAGAAATAATATGCATGAACACATTCACTGAATTATCATTTGTAACAACAAAATCTGAAAATAATCTAAATGCTAAGCAATAGGGTTTCTCAAAGTATTAACTCCGTGGAATATTTTGTAGTGACTAAAAGCCATAGTTATGATAGTTAATGGAAATATATTTGGTATGATGTTAAGTTAGTAAAGCAGGATTAAAGTTGTCATTACATTCTGATTTTACAAGTGAGAATTAAATATGATCTATAAAAAGTACAGGTACAGTGTTTGGCATGTTAGGATGGTGAGATGTGGA